CGACGTGTCAGCCGAGGTGCCACGTGCCCTGGAAGTTACGCCGAGGTAATCTCGGGGAAGCCGAGGTCATCGCCGAAGATGTCGGAGTCCGAAGATAAGGGACAAGAGTCCTAAGGCAAAGAGGGGACTTAGTTAAGATAAAGATAAAGGTCTTAGGGAGTTTATCTCTATCTCTTAAAGAGTCCAGAGTAAGCACTAAGATTGGAGTTCATAGAAGTCATACTTCTAGTTGGACTTGGATTGAGTATATTATAAAAGAGAGGCACCCCCGTGGGTCTAAGGTATGTAATTCATACTTTGAGTATTCAGTTTAATACTTGATTATCCTTGAGAATCATACTGACTTGATCGTCGGAGTGCCCCCGGGTGGAAGAACCACCGCCGGAGCTTTTCTTTTCTGTTACAGGTTGCTGGAGCCATCCATTCTGCCGGTGCTTAGCTGCTGATCACTAAACGGGCAGTGTGGTCAGATTTTTACCCACACAAATGAAATGCTAATATTTCGCATGTTTATGTTTTCTATTGGATATTATGAGATGGGTTGTCATTATTATTTTGGGACGTTACTCAATATTTAAATAATTCCATAACAGATTTCTATGATTTTTGCAATTTTCTAGAATTTTTTAGAATTACAAGTAATTAATAATTACACAAAAAATCAAAAATAAATATTACAGAATCTGAAAAAATACAACAATCATACCAGTGAATAAGATTATATAACAATAGTCTACTCTAAAAATTCCAAGTCCAGAATCCAAGTCGTGCTTCCCCAGTAGGGATTTAACATAAAAATATTGAATTATTCATTAATGAAAAATATTTTATTTTCCATAAAATTTTGAAACTTTAACATCTTGTAGAAAAATTAATTACGAGTCCAACAGTGTAGCCATGCTTCAATCAAAATTATAACGAATAATATAGAAACAATTAACGTAGTTTTGAAGTAAAAAACAAACAAATAGGGTCTTAACACAACTGCAAGCAGCAACGCCTTTCGCGGCTCAGCTCAGCTCAGCTCAGCTCAGTCCACGGCTCGCAACGTGTCACAATGACATCCCTGTGCATGTCACACTAACATCAGTACTGGCAATTTTGTCTTTTTCTCCAATGGCTCCAACTCTCACTCAAAACTAGGGTTTGAGTTTTCTTCTCAACCGTAAGTCGAAATCAGGATCATAATATTTCGTTTCTAAGGTCTCGAAATAAGGATTTCAAATATATAATTTTCACAATATGAAAACAAAGCATGTAAAACTAGCATGCAGTCAAAGTTACAAAAAATTAAATATGAATCTCCATTTTTCTCAAAAGCCGACCGTTCAATTTTTTTAGATATGCTCTATATAATATGGACTAAAACATATAAAATATTTAGGACAATCAAAGATGGTTCGAAAAATATCAATTTTTTTGTACAAATCGTATCTATACATATATTCATGTGTAAATAATACGAAAACACTCAACAATGGCTCTAATACCAAAGTAGAAAAAATAAGAAATAATAGATAACAAAAATAAACCGATTCAGGCATACCTTTTATGCTTCAACCGAATCCATGGATCATGTAGCTGAATCACAGGCCTCTATTGATGTCTACAAATAATTCCTAGCAACGAGATTAAACTATTAGAGAATTACCTACACTATTCATAATACTGTAACGACTCTGAGCTAAGATTAACAAATAAATCATGATTAAGAATGCCTAATGAGTAATTAAGAGGGAATTCTAAGTTAAATTAATGTGTTATGTGTCATTTGTGTTTATATCTGTCTGTCATAGAATATCCGTTCAGGATTTAGCTTTGTTCTGCGAATTAAAGGCCTTCTCGGCCACCGAATACAAAATTGTCTAGGTTTATATGTAATATAGGAGTTTTAGAGATTTATGATAGGTTTAATTGAAATTCAATTGGGAACGAAATAATTAGAATAAATTAAATGAAATTAATTAGGAATAATCAAGTGTAATTAACTTAACTTAATGAAGCCTATATAAGGCTTAAGTCAAGAGCATTCTACATACTTCATCCTTATATGAGCTCAACAAAACATGGGGGCGAGAGAGAGGAACAAAGGAGAGCTTGAATTCAAGCTTAGGGAAGAGAATTATTTGGTAATTGAAGAGAACTAGAAGGAATTGAGAGAATTTAGTCAACACTTGCTAAATCAAGGTTTATGGTAGGAATTCAACTCTCAACCCTTGTATTTGAGCTACCTAATGCAAGAATTCTAGAGAATTGGATGAATTAACATAAGAATTAAGTAAAGGAAATAGAGTTGAGCCTGATCTATGCATTGCATGCATAATTCATGAAATTTGAGTTGAAATTCCATCTCATGTTTACATGCATAGGCCTAGACTTGCATAATTTTGAAGGTTTAACATAATTTTTCTCTCATTATGCCATTTGTACAAGTTTTGTAAGCAAAGACTTCAAGTTCATGAATGCATGTTATATATATAAACTTTCAAGTTTGGTTTTGAACAATTGACTTGCTTTTGGGGCTTTGATTTTGTGAAATAATCTTTAATACATGTTGGTTTACAAATTTACAAGTGTTTTCTACAGTTTTGGCCTAAAAGAATATGTTTTAATGTTTTAATGTTTTGGATTTGAGTTTTGAAGCTTGGAGAGCAATCTAGAAATTTCATAATTCGCACTCTTCGTTCGAGAGGTGAAATCTTTGCGCGAGCAAAGAATGCAAGCTCCCAGAAGTTTTGCAAACATGAGCCTTTGCTCGAGTGATAGAACCTTCGCTTGAGCAAAAACCCTTTGTTTTGGACTTTGGCTCGAGCGACCAAGATGTACCCTTGAGCGCAAAATGCAAGCTCCTAGAAGTTTTGTAGACCTGGGGCTCTGCTCGAACAAACAAAATTGCGCTCGAGTGAACTGTCCTGTTTTTCGAAATTTAATTAAGTGTTTAAAAGTGCATTTTGACAACCTCATTACATCGTAGGCATTCCTAAGCCTCAATTAAGACATAATAATGAGGATAAGGATTAGAAACATACCAAGATAAAAAAGAAGTAAGTTAAGAGTTTTTTGACCGTGTGTTTCGATGTGTATCAGTTATGTGTTTGCATAGGTCACATGCCATAGACCGTTTGTTCTGTCTGACTCGTCTGTTCTGCTATTGGAGCTATCAATGAGTAACAACTCTGTAAAGCTATTTTCAGTTATATATATTGTCTGAATGATGTGATACTCTGTTTTTCGAACTATTATTTTCTGTATGAATGAATGATTATCCAATTTTTTTGAAATGTATTCGTGGCATCCTTACCATCATGTGATATCTGCTATCTGCTTTGTAAACGTCCCATATATTTATGGGTCATCTGTACGTCTCATGAGCCATCTATATGTAGATCCTTATGAACGTCCCATGTGAGCATGGGTCATTTGTACGTCTCATGTATTCATGAGCCATCTAATTTGTTAGTGCTAATAGATGTACCACGTATGATTATCCGTGAAATCTGAATATGAATATAAATCTATTTTTGATCTAAACTCTCCTTTACTTTGTTGTTATTCACTAAGCTCCAGCTCACTCTATCAATTATGTATGTTGATGATCAGGTGCGTGACCAGGCTCAGTGATGATTGCCTGGAGTTCTATTCTGTCAAGCCAATCACCATGCCTCACGAGAAGGTTCTTGAAAGTCCTTGTGGTCAAAGTTTGGTGATAAAGTCTTATGTTTTTGTTTTCTTTTGTTTTATTTGTATATTGGGCTAAGTTCCATTTTGGCTTGTTTGTAAAGGCATGTAAAACCGAAGTATTTATGACGTCACATATATATAAATAAAGTTTTAAATTTTCTCTCCCATGTACGTCTGCACAGCTCTATGGACATTGTATTTTCATATATTTGCTTCCGCTAACCCCTTTATTTTATTAATCAGTTCAGAGGCCTTTGGTAATCCTAGGATTACTGGCCAGTTACGATGCTAAACCTATAGAGATAGGTTTGGGTTGTGACATAGTGGTATCAAAGCACAAGTTATACCGCACACACGAGTCCATATGAGCCTTAAGATGTCCTAGAATAGAATTAGGAACATTACATCTGCATGTGTGAGTGTGTGTTAATTTCTGTGAACATGTGAACTAAAAACATAAGCATATGAATTTGAAATGAAATGAACTGAAACTGAAAATACTGTAAAAAAGGAAAGAACCTATTTCCTACGTTTATTATCGTTTTGTTTACTTATAGAAATGGAATGGACAAGAAGTGTGATGTTACTGAGTCCTCTGATGCCCGGATAGACCAAATGGAAATAATGCTTGAAGCCTTAACCGAATCCATGAGGCAACAACAACAACAGAGACAGCAACCTCTGCCCCTTCCGTCCTTACCGGTGCAAGTGGAGCCAGTAAATAATGATATAATCAGTTTGACTCAAAAATATAACAAGATGAAGCCACCGACTTTTCTGGGTGGAATTAAGCCATTGAAAGCCGAGACGTGGATGTTAGAAACTGAGAAACTTTTTGAAGTCTTTCCATACACTGAAACTCAGAAAGTATTGTTGGCCACCTACTCTTTGAATGAAGAAGCCCATCGTTGGTGGATGTTGGTACGTGAAAGCAATAGGACATTAACATGGAGCCAATTCAAAGAAATGTTAAAAGTACTTCCCTCAATGTTTCCAGAATCACAAGGTGTTGGAATTTGGGCAATTAAAGCAAGGTAATATGTCTGTGGCCGAATATGAGACCAAGTTCACAGAAAGCCCGTTTTGCTCCATATATGGTGGACATAGATTACAAAAAGGCCAGAAATTTTGAAGGAGGTTTGAATTTAGATATGTTTGATTGTGTCAGTGTATTGAAATTGCCCAAGTATGTGGATGTACTTGACAGAGCCTTGATGACTGAAGCCAATTTAGCAGCTATGAAACAGGCCAAAGCTTCGACAAGTGAATAAAAAGGAAAGAGATTCGGATTCAATTTTAGAAAGGGTCGTTCACTTTTAATGAATAAGAGTCAAAATACGAGATCTACTAGCAGTTCAAGTCAAAGTAGTGGATTTGCACCTATATGTTCTGAATGTGGGAGAAGACACAAAGGTGTCTATTACCGTGCAACTGGTACTTGTTTCCGATATGGCAAAACTGGCCACGTGGTGAAAGATTGTCAATTCATATATGAAAATACCAATCGTCTTGCGGCAAGTTTGGCCGGATCCACTTCTGTACCAAGATCAAATGTGAGAACCAATAATGGGAAAGAAACTCTAAGGCAAGGTAGAGTTTTTGCACTTGTGCCTGGCGATGTGCAAAATACCAAATCTATGGTGTCAGGTACACTCCCTATTTGTGCTCAGAGTGCATATGTTTTGATCGATTCTGGTTCTACACATTCCTTTGTGTCATATGTTTTTTCTCGAAAATTGACTAAACCAGTAGAGCCTATGAATTATGTGTTATCTGTATCTACTCCATCTGGGGATTCTATGCTGTGTGCTTATGTGTATCTGGCATGCGATGTTATGATTGGTGATATGCTATTGTATGTTGACTTGATGCCTGCAGCTATTGATCATTTTGATTGCATATTGGGTATGGATTGGTTGACAATACACCATGCTAGGATTAATTGTGTTGCTAAATCTATTGTATTTCGGCCACCTGATTTGCCTGAATTTGTGTTTTGTGGAAATGGTGCGGTTCCTCTCTCATATTTGATTTCTACTATGAAAGCCAACAGATTGCATAGAAAGGGATGTTGGGGTTATTTGTGTTGTGTATTTGTTGTGAATAGGGATAGTGCTAATATAGGGAATATCCCGATTGTCAATGAATTTCCTGATGTGTTTCCTAATGAATTACCCGGGGACCTAATTGATAGAGAAATTGAATTCACTATTGATGTAGTACCTAGAACACAACCAATTTCTAAGACCCCTTACAGAATGTCAATCTCTAAATTGAAAGAACTGAAAATTTAACTTCAAGAATTGTTAGACAAGAAATTCATTCGATCGAGCACTTTACCTTAGGCTACTCCATTGTTATTTGTTAAAAAGAAAGATAGGACCCTAAGATTATATATAGACTATCGGGAGTTGAACAAAGTGACTGTGAAAAATAAATACCCACTACCCCGAATAGATGATTTGTCTTATCAACTCTAGGGAGCCTAAGTGTTTTCAAAAATTGACCTTAGATCCAGGTATCACCAACTAAAATTTAAAGCAAAAGACATAGAGAAAACCGCTTTCTAGACTAGATATGGGCACTATGAGTTTCTGGTAAAGCCTCTTGGGGTAATTAACGCACCTGCTGCCTTTATGGATCTAATGAATAGTGTTTTCAAACAATTCCTTGATGAATTTGTTATTGTTTTTATTGATGATATTCTGATTTACTCTAAAAGCAAGGAAGATCATGAGAACCATTTGAGAATTGTGCTACAAATCTTGAGAGAAAAGAAATTGTATGCTAAATTGTCCAAGTGTGAGTTTTGCCTTGATTGTGTGACATTTCTAGGCCATGTAATCGCCAAAGATGGCATCTCAATTGACCCACAGAAAATAGAAGCTATTGTGAATTGGCCAAGGCCTACTACCATGACAGAAGTTCCAAGTTTTCTGGGGCTTGCCGGTTATTACAAGAGGTTTGTAAAAGACTTCTCAAAACTTGCCATGCCACTGACTCAGCTAACATAGAAAGGTATGTCTTTTGACTGAAATGATCAGAGGGAATCTGCTTTTCATGAATTGAAGACCAGATTAGTGATTGCACCGATTCTGACCTTGCCTAATGGTACACATGGGTTTCAGATTTACAGTGATGCTTCATACAATGGTCTGGGGTGTGTACTCATGCAAGATGGTAAAGTTATTGCATATGTTTCTCAGCAACTCTGACCCTATGAAAAGAACTATCCAACTCACAACCTGGAACTTACAATTGTGGTCTTTGCTTTGAAAATCTGCCACCATTATCGGTATGGAACAACTTGTGAGGTGTACACCGATCACAAAAGTCTGAAATACTTTTTCACACAAAAAGAACTGAACATGAGATAGAAAAGATGGTCGGAATTGATTAAAGACTATGATCTGCAGATTTTGTACCATCCAGGGAAAGTTAACACAGTGGCAGATGCTTTGAGCCAAAAATCCATTGGGAATTTGGCATGTTTGCTCACCGGTCAAAAAGAGTTGTTATGTGACTTAGAAAGAAATGAGATTGAAGTTGTGTTACATGAATAGGGTGGAGTCCTAGCTACTATCTTTGCACAACCAGCCATCATCAAAGAAATAAAAGAAAAGCAACATCAAGGTGAATTTCTGAAAAAGATTTTTGATGAACTTGATTCAAAATCGAGGCCAAGATTTGTATTTGAGAATAATGTGTTAAAAGTTTCAGAATAGACTTTGTGTACTGGACTGCTTTGAACTAAGAAAACATATCATGACTGAGGCTCAACTCCAAATTTGCTATACATCCAAGAAATACAAAGATGTATGACTTGAAACAGAATTCTGGTAGCCTGGAATGAAAAAGTGTATTGCCAATTTTTTAGCCAAATGTCTGTAGTGCCAACAAGTAAAAGCTGAACATCAACGACCCGCTGGACTTTTTCAGCCGCTTCCAATACCGAAATGGAAATGTGAGCATATCACGATGGATTTTATTGTTGGACTGCCTCACTCCTCTCGAGGTATGGATTTTTTCTGGGTCATTGTTGATTGTTTGACTAAGTCTGCTCATTTCTTACCTGTGAAAACTTTTTATAATGCGGATAAATTGGCTAATATTTATGTGAATGAGACTGTGAGATTACCCGGGGTGCCAGTATCTATTGTGTCTAACAGAGACTCTAAGTTTACTTCAAGATTCTGGCATAGTTTACAATGAGCCTTGGGAACTGAGCTGAGGCTTAGTAATGCATATCATCCACAGACAATTGGCTAATCAGAAAAAACCATTCAAACACTGGAAGATATGTTACAGATGTGTGTGTTGGATTTCCAAGGAAATTGGAAAACCTACTTGCCTTTGGCTGAATTTGTGTGTAACAACAGTTACCACTCAAACATTGAAATGGCTCCATATGAAGCTATGTATAGAAGAAAGTGCTAATCTCCGATTTGTTGGGCCGAAGTAGGTGATAGGTCGTTATTGGGACCGATACTTGTGCAAGAGACAACTGAAAGAGTTAAGTTAATTTAGCAGCATTTGAAAACTGCACAGAGTCGTCAAAAGAGTTATGCAGATATTTGAAGAAGGGACAAAGAATATAAAGTCGATGATCACGTGTTTATCAAAGTAACTCCAATAAAAGGCCAAACATGGTTTGGAGTAAAAGGCAAGATGGTGTCGCTGTACATTGGACCGTATGAAATTTTTGAGAAAATCAATCCCGTTACATATCAAGTGGCCTTACCTCCGATCATGAAGAATATGCACAATGTCTTTCATGCTTCAATGCTTCGAGACTATTTGAGAGATCCATTACATGTGATTAAACCAACTCATGTACTTCTAAAAGATGATTTTACTTGAAAAATAGCTAACCCAGATTGTGAACCGTCGAATCAAAAGTCTGAGGAACAAAAAAATTCCATTCGTAGCAACATCACGGAGCGATGTATGCAATTTGGGAAACTGAAGAGGACATGATGAAAAGATACCCTGATTTGTTTCCTTTGAACCCAACATTCTTCCGAAATGAATGTAATTCAAGTTTGGAGGACCAAAGTCTTTAAGAGGGGAAGACTGTGACGACCCTGATATGAGATTAACTAATAAATCATGATTAAGTGTGCCTAATGAGTAATTAAGAAGGAATTTTGAGTTAAATGCATGTGTTATGTGTCATTTGTGTTTATATTTGTCTGTCATAGAATATCCATTCAGGATTCTGCTTTGTTTTGCGAATTGAAGGCCTTATTGGCCATTGAATAAAAAATTGTCTGGGTTTATGTGTAATTTAGGATTTTTAGGAATTTATTGTAGGTTTAATTGAAATTCAATTCAGAACCAAATAATTAGAATAAATTAAACAAAATTAATTAGGAATAATTAAGTGTAATTAACTTAACTTAATGATGCCTATATAGGGCTTGAGTCAAGAACATTCTACATACTTTATCCTTATGTGAGCTCAACAACACGTGAGGGATAGAGAGAGGAACAAAGGAGAGCTTGAATTCAAGCTTAGGGAAGAGAATTACTTGGTAATTGAAGAGAACTAGAAGGAATTGATAGAATTTAGCTTCAACACTTGCTAAATCAAGGTTTATGGTAGGAATTCAACTCTCAACCCTTGTATTTGAGCTACCTAATGCAAGAATTCTAGAGAATTTGATGAATTAACATAAGAATTAAGTAAAGGAAATAGAGTTGAGCATGATCCATGCTTTGCATTCATAATTCATAAAATTTGAGTTGAAATTCCATCTCATGTTTACATGCATGGGCCTAGACTTGCATAATTTTGAAGGTTTAACATGATTCATCTCTCGTTATGCCATTTGTACAAGTTTTGTAAGCAAAGACTTCAAGTTCATGAATGCATGTTATATATATAAACTTTCAAGTTTGGTTTTGAACAATTGACTTGCTTTTGGGGCTTTGATTTTGCGAAAAAATCTTTAATTCATGATGGTTTACAAATTTACAAGTATTTTCTAAAGTTTTGGCCCAAAAAGAATGTGTTTTAATGCTTTGGAATTCAGTTTTGAAGCTTAGAGAGCAATCTGGAAATTCCAAAATTCGCACTCTCTGCAAGAGCGATGGAATCTTCGCTCGAGCAAAGAATACAAGCTCCTAGAAGTTTTGTAGACATGAACCTTTGCTCGAGCAATAAAACCTGAGCTTGAGCGAAAACTCTTTGTTTTGGACTTTGGCTTGAGCAACCAAGATGTACACTCGAGCGTAAAATGCAAGCTACCAGAAGTTTTGCAGACTTGGAGGTCCGCTCGAACGAACTGCCCTATTTTTCGAAATTTGATTAAGTGTTTCAAAGTGCATTTTGACATCCTCATTGTATCCTAGGCATTCATAAGCCTCAATTAAGACATAACAATGAGGATAAGGATTAGAAACACACCAAGATAGAAAAGAAATAAGTTAAGAGCTTTCCGAGTGTGTGTTTTAATATGTATCCGTTATGTACTTGTGTAGGTTACGTGCCATAGACCGTTTGATCTGTCTGACTCGTCTATTCTAATATTAGAGCTATTTGTAAGTAACAACTCTGTAAAATTGTTTTTAGTTATATATATTTTCTGAATGATGTGATATTCTATTTTCTAAATTATTATTTTCTATATAAATGAATGATTATCCAATTTTTCTGAAATGTATTCGTGGCATCCTTACCATCATGTGATATCTGTTATCTGTTCTATAGATGTCCCATATGTGTATAGGTCATTTGTGCGTCTCATGAGCCATCTGTATGTGGATCCTTATGAACGTCCCATGTAAGTATGGGTCATTTGTATGTCTCATGTATTTATGAGCCATCTAATTTGTTAGTGCTAATAGATGTACCACGTATGATTATCTGTGAAATCTAAATCTGAATATGAATCTGTTTTTGATCTAAACTCTGATTTTTTAATCTGTTATGGACATCATTCATAAAACCTTTACTCTGTAATTCACTGGGCTCCAGCTCACACTATTAATTATGTATGTTGGTGATCAGGCGCATGACCAGGCTCAGTGATGATTGCCTAGAGTTCTGCTCTGTCAACCGCGTCTCACGAAGAGGTTCTTGAAAGTCCTTGTGGTCAAAGTTTTATGATCAAGTCTTATGTTTTTGTTTTCTTTTGTTTTATCTGTATATTGGGCTAAGTTCCGTTTTGGCTTGTCTGTAAAAGCAGTGACGTAAGACTGAAGTATATGACGTCACATATATATAAATAAAGTTTCAAATTTTATGTCCCATCTACGTCTACACAACTCTATAGACATTGTATTTTCATAT